CCGCCATCTTGGTTGGCAGTTAATTTGCATATCTCACTGATTAGCCAATGGGAAGGGTAGCGGTCGTACACCAATTACTATGTTTCTCTTTTATTAGATAGGATAGTTTAGAAATAGGTAGTTTTATTTATTTTTTAAATATATTTTCTATTGATTTCAGAGAGGAAGGGATAGAAACATCAATGATGAGAAACATTGATAGGCTGCCCCCTGCACACCCCCTACTGGAGATTGAGCCTGCTACCCAAGCATGTGCCCTTGACCAGAATCAAACTCAGGACCTTCCAGTCCACATGCGGATGCTCTAGCCACTGAGCCAAACCAGTTAAAGTGAGAAATGGGTAGTTTTAATTTGCATTATGAGCAAAGGTGAGCATATTTGCATTTGATTAAGAGCCATTTGCATTTTTCATATGAAATATTGGATCATCTCTGAGAAATATAGGTTTAATCTCTAAAGCTGTTATTCTCTATTTTTAGAAGCTCTTTTTTATATATTATGGCTATTAACATTTTATGATATAAGCTGGCAGTTTTTCTTTTGCTGTTTCATCCTTTTACTTTGCCATGAAAATGCTTTGCTTTTGGAGTAACCAAATATATCAATCATTCCCCTTATTGCTTTTGGATTTGGAGTCATAGGAAATCTTTCTTCTATAGTAAGTTTTCTTCTAATACATGTAGTTTCATTTTTACATTTAAATCTTTTATCTAAAGACTGTCCCAAAAAGTGTATACACACTCTCAATGATTATAAAGTCACTGTTTATTAATATACAGTTCATTTTCTAAATTTAGAAGACTCTATAGTAGCGGTTCTCAACCTGTGGGTCGCAACTCCTTTGGGGGTCAAACGACCCTTTCACAGAGGTCACCTAAGACCATCGGAAAACACATATATAATTACATACTGTTTTTGTGATTAATCACTATGCTTTCATTATGTTCAATTTGTAACAATGAAATTGGGCATCACCACAACATGCGGAACTGTATTAAAGGGTCGCGACATTAGGAAGGTTGAGAACCACTGCTCTATAGAAATGAATAATTGTTTTTGTCAATGCTTATTTTCAAACTGATGACCACTCTGGTCCAGGCAATGCTAGTGCGAAGCAAATGAATAGCAAATATCAAGAATCGTTTTGCTCAGTACTTGTGAGCCCTCAATTCATCAACTGTTGCTGGTTTTTGTACCATAAACTTTATCCTTTATGTATCTCAATAAAAAAGTCTAGTGAATAAACTTTGTTCAAAGCTTAGTTTGGCTTTATCCAGTATTTCAAATCAGTTAAACCTGAAAAGGAGTGAAAATTAAGTGAGTTATCAGCTGTCAAATGTGTATACATCTTTTTTGGGGGGGATACAGGGTGTTTGAATAATTATAAAGGCAGTGTTTGTACTTAAAACTGCATTTTCCAACTTCCAGTAGCATTTTAGGATGAATTTCCTTTGTTCAAAGCTTAGTCTGGCTGAAAAGAAAGAATCATCAATTGAGCTATCAGCTGGTAAAGTGTGTGTACATGTTTTTGGGACATGTATTTAGAATTTATCCTAGTGTGATTGTATAAAGAACTGATCCAACATTATCTTTTTTCCCTGTTGGCTATCTGGTGATCTCAACACCACATATTATTTGGATTTAAGATGCCAAAGATAGACACTTTTTAATGTCTAAAAATTCATTAAATCAGGAAGTATAATAAACCATTATATCAGACAGATAATAAGAATTATATATTTGTATAAAACTAATAATATAGCCTCAAAACAGATAAAACAAAAATTGACAGAATAAAGAGAAACATTGAAAAATTGACAATCATCTTGGGAGACTTTCAGTCACTAATAGTATAAGAAAACAAATATCAATAATGATACAGATAATTTGAGCTACACAATAAGAAACCTCACCTAATGGATGTACACAGAACATTAGCATCAAGAATGGCAGAATTCACATTCTTCTCAAATACACATCGAATATTTATAGAAAAATTGGATGTTGAGACATGAAAGAAGACCCAAAAAATGTAAGAGAATGTTCTTTCACCAAGCTAGAAATCATTAACAAATAATTAGATAATTATTGTATATTTGGAAATTAGGAAATACACTTCCAAATAATATTTGGGTAATGGACTTTAGTAGATACTTTGAACACAATGGAGTATTATATATTAAAATTTGTGGAATGCAGCTAAAAATCATGCTTTGAGAGAAAATTATAGCCTAAACACATGTATTTAAAGAGCAGAAAAGAAAGGGTACAATGAGCTAAGCTTCCAAAAACTTAGGAATTCCCCAATTCAAGAAGTTATAAAAAGAACATCAATTAAACCTAAAGAAACAAGAAGAAAATAAACATAAAAGCAGAAACCAATGAAGCATAAAAGAAAAGATTAAGTAGGTCCATATTCATTCTCTGAAATGATTTATAACATTAGTAAGCCCTGGCAAAATAACAACAGTGAGAGCAAATAAGAACAGGCACAAAT